CTAAAGCCATGTATATATGCCCGTCGACCCTATGACCACGAGGCCTCGATGCACGTACGGTTGGGGTTTTGGCCCCGTGGATTCTTGTCATGCAGACAGAGGTCTAGCGAAGCCATTGAGACCCGAGCACAACTGCAAGCTGGCATCTTGCACACCACAGAAGCCAAAAGCCCTACACAGTGTCAAGAACCAGAACCAAAGGAAGGCAGCGGAAGGAAAACAGAGGGGAGGGGGGGGGGGGTTGATCTGAAGGTTGTTTTTTAAAGAGATTTCTTATGATCCCCGTGTTTCAGAGGGTTAATTTGGGAACATGTGCGTATTCTGATCCCTAAGCCCTAAACTTTAAGGTATGTTGATCCAGTACCATACGGGCAGGTCTCTAAATTGGAATCCCTTTTTGGGTCCTTAAGGGTTCCGTGCTATATATTGGACCCGAAAAGGGACCCGAATTTAAAGAACTGCCCATATAGGCATAGTGAGGGCAACCGGAAGAACCCCTAACACAGAGTTGGAAAAATTTCCAATATTACCTAAACCCTGAACCCTAAAAACCCTATTCTAATCATTCAGGCCCCCATGTTTCGCAAGGCGTGCCCAAGCGAGTGCAGGGCCTCTCCTGGGGATGGCTTGGTCAAGGCATGGGTTTGGGGGGGTTGGGGTTTAGGGGACAAGGGTTTAGGGCTTAGGGTTTAGGGTTTAGGGTTTAGGGTAGGGGCTTAGGAGTTTAGGGGTTTAGGGTTTGAGGCTTCCGGGTTTGGTCCCTGAACCCTATAAACCCTAAACTGCCCTCAACCCTGAACCCTAAACTGCTGCCTTTGCGTGCACATCGATGACAATGAGCGCGCCGATGCTCATGCGCCTTGGCTCTCTCTCCAGTGGGTTAAGGGTTGAGGGTTTAGGGTTGAGGGTTGAGGGCTTAGGGTTTAGGGTTGAGGGTTAGGGTTCAGGGATCCTTCCAAGGCACGTTTGGGTTAGGGGTTAGGGCTCCCTGCCAAGAATTTCTAGAGCCCGAAACCCTGATGTAGCCCAAGGGTTCGCACGGAACCTAATCACCTACAGGCCGCAGAGTAGAACACTAGCTCGAGGTTGCCCAGAAGCCTCCCCTAACCCTGGAAGAAAGAGAATAACCCTAAACCCTAACCCCTAACCCCTAAACCCTAAACCCTAAACCCTAAACCCTAAACTGAACATCCTAGGAGGTAAGGAAACCCACCCGTCTTCGCCTTCGCACCACCAGGCTCACATTCCTTGTGACATGAAGAGCTTCGAAGTCCTTCTTCCCCAACCCTGAACCCCCCCAAAAAAGGTACTATAAGGGTCGGAATCATTACTAATTGTAAACGCTTGCGCGCGCCGCCTCGGCAGCCGGACCGGCCCAAGACAGGAAAGGAGGAAAGAGGGTTTCTGCAAAAAAAAGGAAGGGTCCAGGTCCGGGGGTCGTAGGACGTTAAAGGTGTTGGAGGGGTCCAGGTAAGGGGGGTCCCACTTTTATGTGTCGGCGGAAGGGTTGGGTCAGGGGGAAGGAGGCCCGATCCGGGCCTGCTTGCTCCAGACGCTTCTCGGCAGGAAGCCGAGGCGAATAGTATTCCCTTATGGTCCCTTTAGAATTATACTATAATAGCCTCCCACACCCTGTTCTAATTATTAGAAGTCCTTCTTCCCCAAACCTGAACCCCCAAATAAACGGTAAGGCCCGAATGCAGTTCTCAGAGCCCTCTCCACAACCCGAGTTTAATGTCCGGTCTCACCATGTCGAACTAGGCTTCAAAACGAATTTCCCAGACAGGTCTAGACTGGCGTCGAAATTAGAAACACGTAAGGGATGCTTTTCGGTGCTTCCAGGCCCTGAACCCTAAACCCTCAACTCTAAACCCCCAAACCCTAAACCCTATGCCCTAAACCCGAAACCCTAAACCCCGAACCCTAAACCCTAACCCTAAACCCTTGAGAATAGGAAAGCAGGGTCGCCCTCTCCGCGCTGGGGGCCCCAAACTGAAGCTTGGAGATGTCCCCACGCACCAATCTGACCAGGCCCATGAGCCTCAGAGGAAAGGGTCTATAGGGCTTAGGGAGGTTTAGGGTTTCGGGTTTAGGGTTTAGGGTTTCGGGCTTAGGGCCAATAGGGTTTATAGTGTTTATGGGTTTAGGGCTTTAAAATGGTTTAGGTTCGTGGGACTTAGATTTTAGGGCTTAGGGGGGCCCTAAAGGGGCTCGAGAGTGGAAGGTCCTGAGAGTCTGCTGGAGTGCTGGGGCCTTAGGGCTAAGGGCCTTTACGGCTAGAGAGGCTAACGAGGGTTTGGTTTAGGGTTTGGGGTTTAGGGTTTGGGGTTTAGGGTTTAGGGTTTAGGGTTTAGGGTTTAGGGTTCAGGGTTCAGGGTTCAGGGTTCAGGGGTTCAGGGGTTCAGGGGTTCAGGGGTTCAGGGGTCAAGGGTTTAGGGCTGGGTGGTGGCTTATTTTTCTTCTGCATGGATTGCGGAGGAGTTGCTCCGCCCCTGCACCACTAGTTACCCCACCCCCCCCCCAACTCCTCGCCCAGGGGGTCGCGTTTAGGGGAAGATGGGGGGTCGGGGGGGTGGGAGGTTGCCTCTGCGGCTACCACTCAGCTTCATCAACCCGGCCCTGCTCTTGGCACCAGAATGCCTTGCCGTAAAGTAAAGAAAACCATCTCACATGGATTCGGATAGTATTTCCGAAAGCAGTTTGCACTTCATGGACTCAACACCTAGTTGCTACGCACAAGATGATATCTTCCTGGCGATGTTGGTGAGGACATGGTGACCATGCCGCTGTATTGTTCAGCGCTACTCCATGCAATGGTTGGAGCGAGGCGTCGTGAAGAAACAATGATCATGCTGGCCTATCAAAATCCTAAATCCTGATCATAAAGCACATCTTGACGGAACCAGAACAACTACCCCCACCCATCTCTACTTCCTACCTAACCCTAAACCCTAAACCCCTAATCCCCTATACCCTTTCTCACGAATGCTCGGGGAGCCGACTGTTCCGACAGCTTTGTGAAGTAGTCGGGCAGTGCCTGGAACACGATGAATCTGCAGAGGGTTCCGGGTTTAGGGTTCAGGGTTTCGGGTTTAGCATGAAGCACCCTTCAAACCTTGCAAATCAATCCCAACATCTTGGTGCCAACATCTTGGCGGGTAGGAGTCCCTCGAATTTGGGTGAGGACTTCGCAGTTGCCGATCGGGATCTTGCGGCTGACAGGTGGATTACGCAGAGGTGCAGTGACTCCCACATCAGCTGCATCACTTCATCGCAGGACAGAGTTTCGGGGATTGGGGTACAAGACTCCAGAGCAAGCACACGCATGACGATGGCAGTCATGACCATGGAGGAGGATGAGGAGGAGGAGGAGGAGGAGGAAGAATCTGGAGCCGGAAGCAGCGCTCATTCTCCTCTACTACTCTGCCATCTGCCAGCTGACAGCTCAGCTCGACACAGGCACACACACACACACACAATCCTCCCACACCCCACCAAGGCCCCGCAAAGCCCTACACCCTTTAATCCCGAAAGACACCCTAAAACCGAGCCCTGCCCTTAATCCCCTTTCCCACCCTACAAGAACCCTAAGGCCCCCTAAACCCTATCCCCCAAACCCCAAGACCCCAAGACCCCAAAAACCCCAAAACCCGCAAAACCCGCAAACCGAAAACCCGAAAAACCGAAAACCTCCAAACCTCCGACCCCCAAGCCCCTGCACCCAATGCACAAGGTTTAGGGTTTAGGGTTTAGGGTTTAGGGTTTAGGGTTTAGGGTTTAGGGTTTAGGGTTTAGGGTTTAGGGACGATCACACCTGGGTTCCTGGCAGCCTGGCCAATGGCCTCCTCCACCTCGGCCGTCCAGTGGACCTGCGAGGTTTCCCCGTAAGCTTCCCTCAACGCTAAACATCCCTAAACCCTAAACCCTAAACCCTAAACCCTAAACCCTAAACATGAAGCATGGCAAACAACCCCAAACATGGCAAGCCCTAAGCCCTAGATCCTAAACCCTAAACCCTGAACCCTGAGCTCGCCACCCTGCACCCTAAACTGACCTAGCCCTCAACTGCCTAAACCCTGAACCGGGGTTTAGGGAGTAACAGGGGTACCCCTCCTACCTAGGATCCTCCAAGGCCCAGCAAGGGAAAAGATGTTCAACAAAGATGTCAAGGGCCTACCTGGTTTAGTCGCCCTAAACCCTAAACCCTAAACCCTAAACCCTAAACCCTAAACCCTAACCCTAAACCCTAAACAGTAGGGGCTTACTGGGGCGCTTTGATGACGTTAGGGTTTGCTCAGGGGTTCGGAGGGTGCCAGCTCCAGGGCTTTAGGGCTTTCTCCTTTTTCCTTTCTGCTGGGGGTGGGGGGGGGTGGGGAGGTTTAGGGTTTAGGGCCAGTTTCGGATTCAGGGTGTAGACTCTAGGGCTGCAGAATTTCGGGGTTCAGGGCTGCACTGCTTGATCCTACATTGCCAGATTCTTTGCCAGGACGGTTGGGGGGCTTGGTCTGGGGTCTGCTTGCGTTGCCTTTGTAAGCAAGAAGCTTCAAACGAGCTGCGTATTCACAAGATCTCAACTACGATGCCCTGACTCCGATTCATGAAGGCCTATAAGCCCTAAGCCCCGCCCCCTACGCATAAACACCGAAATCTCTCTTCATGAGCCCTATTGAGCCTGAACCCTAGACGCGGCGCACATAGTCTCTTTTGCAGGGTTTTTTCAAGTTTGAGGACTCAATTTGTTTCGGGGGGGGCTTCCCTAAACCCTAAACCCTAAACCCTAAACCCTTACACCCTAAACCCTGCTTCCCCGCCTGGCTGGAATTCAGGCAGACCTGGCCCGGCTGGCGAAGGACCTCCGTGGGACGGCAAAGGAAGCCATCGGCGGTTTAGGGTTTAGGGTTTGTGGGTCAGGGCTTAGGTTTAGGGTTTAGGGTTTCGGGTTTACGTTTAGGGTTTAGGGTTTAGGGCTTAGTAACCGTTACTCTCGCTTCATCTTTGGGTGGAGCTACCCCTGCCCAGCAACCTAAACAGAGTTTGCAGGGTTGACGCCGCAAGCGCCAAGCCCATTCAGTGCGCTCGAGCTCGATGTAGCTCTCGACGCCAATCTTGATCACCTGACACCCCATGTTTCCCTCCTTCCCTCAGCCCATGCAAGTGTTTAATGCACATCCCTGCCTGGCATCCATGTTTCAGTTCTACGCGGGGGAAAGGTGTGGCTGGAACAGTTGGTTCAGAAAGGGGGCTCGGCTGCTCCAACACACCATTGAGTTTATAGTGTTCTTAAGGGAGGGGGGTTCAAGGGGGGTATATAACCTCCCTTAAGAACCCTATAGATTGAGAGGGCCATTGCAGCAGGGGCCAGGAAAGGTTAGACCCCAGGGGAGGACATGCAGCCACCTCGCGCACAGCTGCCAGCATCTGATTCTCAACTTCCGTCATCCAAGTCTCGACCTGAGCCATACACGTGGTTTACAGGTTTAGAATTCATGCATCATTCTCGGTTAGAGCATTGGCTGGCAGGCGTGAGCACGACATCTGCATGGCACAAAGCCCTAAGCTTCAAAGCCCACCCGGACGGAACAACGTTGAGCATGCGACGTTCTTGCCAGAGGTGTGGACGGGAGCGACCTTGAGGAGGATGGCAGAACGCGAACAGCGGGATACTTTCTTCTAAGGCTGGGGTTCTCAGTCTCTCTCTCTCTCTCTCTCTCGTGTATGGCTTGGGTTTCACCTTCCCGCACCCTGGGGCTTGTGAGGGCCGAGGTTTAGCGTTTTTAGGGGTTGTATTCCAAGTACCGAGCTTAAAGATCCTTGCTGAACCCAGAAGTGGCTTGGCTTGCCCCACAAAACGTCGCGGATAGCAGATTCAAGGCAGTCTCAGATGCAGATTATCTTATTCAAAGGCATGCACATCTGCGCACCCCATTCTCTTAAAGACATGTGAGCTGGTGTGTCCGGTCATCAGCATTCACTCGAATACACGCAGTATACTCTGATTCCTGGGATCTTCTGGTTTCCGTACACTCCGCTATGTCTCTTCTTTCCCAAGAAGGCCATGAGCAGGTGCTGCCCATGCCCTCCTGTTGCATGATGAACTTGTAACATCACTAACAGGAGTAGAATGGAATCGGGTTTAGGGTTAGGGTTTAAGGTTGCAAAAGATTCATTACCAGGGTCTGCCTATAGCTGACTGTGGCATGAACTTGGTAGGACCAGGAAGCCCCATCCCAAATCAGAGCCCAGCGAAGTCGATGGTCTCACCTTCCTTCGACACCATCTGCGTGGCAGACCTTTTGACCGGAAAAAAACTCAAAAACCCTAAGCCTAGTGCGCTTCAGACATCCCAAAGCTAACCCCCCAGGACTTCAAGTATGAGACACAGCCTTCGAAGTCAGGTCAACATGGAGAGCACTGAGACTAAACCGAAAGCCACTAGGCACCAAGGTGGAACTGACTCTCCACTACTACCATCACCAACAGGTATATACAATATATGGTGGGTCCCAGGAAACATCCCCAAAGACACAACTGTCGGACGATGTTTTCTTAAACGCCAGACCCTCTCACTAACCGGATCCAAGACTTCTACAAGGAATTATTCGACCCAACGAAGCTACCAGTACAGCCGTTTGGAGGCCATCAACCCTAAACCCTAAACCCCAATACATGTAACCCTGATACATGTAGTGTCTTTTGGGCCCAGCGTCCAGACTACACAGGGTTCTTGCACTAGTTGGGCCTCGTAAGAGCTCGGGCTGACATTAAACTTTTCCGCGCCGTGGCCGCGACAGCTCTGAAGTGAAAGTGAGCTTCTTCATGGCCTCAAAAACCTGGCAGGGAACTGTGACATTTCGGATCTAGGGTTTAGGATTTCGGGTTTGGGGCTTAAGTTTAGGGTTTAGGGTTTAGGGTTTAGGGTTTCGGGTTTCGGGTTTCAAAAAGGCTTTCTGAGGAGAATCTCCACGCGAGAACGGTGCAGGAGGCCTTTGGGAGGCTTTTGTTCTTCCAGAAGCCGGACTCAAGGGCACGCTTCTTTTCTCCCGCGCATGAAGGCGTGAGATGAGGTTAAGGGTTAAGGGTTAAGGGTTAAGGGTTAAGGGTTAAGGGTTAAGGGTTAAGGGTTTAGGGTTTAGGGTTTAGGGTTTAGGGTTTGGGGTTTGGGGTTTAGGGTTTAGGGTTTCGGGTTTAGGGTTTATCTGGCCAATACTTGCCGGCAGCCCTGTGAAGGTCCCACCAGGGGCAGGGAGTGCTGGGATCTCCGGAAGCCCGGGAGCGAATCTGTGGGCTTTCCTTCTTGGTAGCCCTGTAACCATATGGTCATAAGGGCACCTTTTTTGGGGTTGGCTGCTTTAATTCAGGGAACCCAGAACTCCGGGCTGCCTAGCTTGTGACATGGCGGCTCCCCAAGCACAAAAAGCAGCGCAGCGAGGTAACGTCCGAGGCCCAACTGGTCCTGATATGAGCTGTAGGATGCCCCGATGCAGAGTTGGGCATCCCTTCGTCTACGCATCCTCGACTCCTCCTTGTTCTGAAGATCCTGGGAGCCAGCATCCGCCTGCCCTCTGAAGGAAGCACCGAACCCCGTTGGGCCACGAAGATCGCAGCAAACTTCAGGGCGCAGTTTGACCTGGACCCAGTGGAATGTCCACTGCCTCCAGGAAGTTCCGCGTCCGTTTTCCATCCTGAGGGTCTAGGGCTTGGAGGGTGCAAGGTTTGTAGGGTTTGGGCCCATTTGGTGGACCGCCAACTTGTGCACAAGACTCGTTCCCCTGCTTCGACCCAGTATGAGGATGCTTCTTGAGCACATTTCGGCATGCGGGTGTTCAGGAGCCGGGTGACGACGTATAGTGTTCTGAAAGGGTGCTGAGAGGGTGATTCCAGTATGGGGTGAGGATCGGAATGCTGCTGGGAAATCTTTTCAAGGGATCAGGAAGGCTTTCAGAGGTGATGGGTTGTTGGGGTAACGGTGATGCCGTAATATACTCTAAGATACTCGAATATACCCTAATATACCCCAATATACCCTCATCTACCCAAATATACCCTAAAATACCCTCATGCCTGTTGTTTCTGGCAGCTGTGGTCATCAAAAGTGTCGACTTAGGCACACACCAGCTTCAGCAGCGTGATGTACTCGCACTGCGCATCAGAATCCTTGCACAGCGCACCCACCAAAGGAACATGCCAATTGTATCTAGCCAGGTTCTTCGAGTAACCTAGGCACGGAAGGAGGAGAACACAAAGATGCCTCATACCCAAATACCCTACAGTGGGCCCTACAGCAATACCCTGGCACCCTAATAGCTTAATCGCCTACTAGCCTGGCAACCGAATACCCTGCCTAAAATCACCCTAAACCCTAAACCCCAAACCCCAAAACCCGAAACCCTCGGGGTTTGGGGTTTGCAGGGGTTCTGTTTTGGGCTGGACAAAGATGGCCGCCTCCACCTTCGGAGGTTCTTGCTCCCGCCCCATCGAGACGTGGAGGTTCTCCTGAAAACCGAAGGGCAGGGTTTAGGGTTTAGGGTTTAGGGTTTAGGGTTTAGGGTTTAGGGTTTAGGGTTTAGGGTTTAGGGTTTAGGGTTTAGGGTTTAGGGTTTAGGGTTTAGGGTTTAGGGTTTAGGGTTTAGGGTTTAGGGTTTAGGGCTTGAGGTTTGGGGTTTGGGGTTTAGGGCTTGGGGTTTGGGGCTTAGGGTTTAGAGGTTTGTAGGGCTTAGGGATGAATCCTACAAGCAGGAAAGTTGTTTGAATTCAAAGCCGCAAGCCCTGAGCACGACTTGTGCTGATGGGAAGCTGTGCGCTTAGATCACGTAAAGCCTAAGACCCCTACACCCTAACCCTATGACCATAAAGCAACAAATGAGGGGATGTCATTCATCTGGGTGATTCGGGAGTCCAGGCAACACCAAGGCTCCAAAACCCCGAAACCCCCACCAAAACCCCGAAACACCAACCCTAAACTCTATCCCACACCCTAAACCCTAAACCCTAAACCCTAAACCCTAAACCCTAAACCCTAAACCCTAAACCCTAAACCCTGAGAGAGGCGGCTCCGTTGACTTGTCCAGGAGCCCACTCTGGCGCAGGCTCGCCAGAAAGCGCTGCCCTGAGGTGGAGAGATCGACAGGAAGGTAGTACACCTCACAGGCATCAGAGGGTAAGGGTTTAGGGTTTAGGGTGTAGGGTTCAGGGTTTAGGGTTTAGGGTTTGGGGGTTAGGGTTTGGGGTTTAGGGTTTAGGGTTTAGAGCTTAGGGCTTCGACGTTGAGAAACCGGAGGGCTTAGGGCTCGGAAGTTGTATGCGCAGCGTCCGGTGTCGGCAAGGAAGTGGGTTGGGAGTTGAGGGCTCCGGTGCTTAGGCTTTAGGGTTCAGGGGTTTAGGGCTGGTGGTTTAGGGTTAGGATGTAGGGGTTTAGGTTTTGGGGTTTCGGGCGCTCAGGCGTTTAGGTTTTAGGGTTTAGGGTTTGTCTCGAGGGTTGAGGGTTTCGGGTTCTGGGGGTGAGAGACTCTATGGTGTTTCAAAACAACAACTCAGCACTTGGAGACACCCAAACAGTGGGTTTAGGGTTTAGGCTTTAGGGTTTGTGCACGATGCCTTAATCAGGCGGCCCTACTCTTGGACAACTTCTTAGTCGCCAACACTGCTGTGCCTGGAGGTCTCGATCACAGTGAACGAAAATAAGAGCACCCAAACTAGACACCACAGGAATCGGATCTCCCTATCATAAGGACCCCGATAAGGTACCTCTGATTTCGGAAACTCACATATATATATATATATACATATACATATATATATATATATATAGAATATGGTGAGTGCTCTACATGATGGTCCCCATGTTGGGTACACTACCTAAGAGGGGCCGCCTTATCACAAGGGAGAAATGGCCATATAGAAACACTGACAAGCTGATATGTCTTTGCATGATGTCCTCATTGGCATGCAGACAATGGTCGAGCACCGGCCCACGCAGAACAAACCCATGCTACCCTCAGGAGATGCAATGCCAAACTCTCTTGAACCCGAAACCCTAAACCCTAAACCCTAAACCCTAAACCCTAAACCCTAAACCCTAAACCCTAAACCCTAAACCGTACCCCTAAACCCTAAACCCTGAACCCTGAACCCTAAACCCTAAACCGGTACGAAGCGCCGCTGACCGGCGCCGCCAAGAGCGTGCATGTCCAGATATCCGTAGCGAAATCGGAGCGAAACCTTGGATCCAGGCTTCAGGGTTAGGGTTTTGGGGTTTTAGGGTCTAAGGGTTTAGGGTTTAGGGTTCAGGGCTGAGGGGTTTTAGGGTTTAGGGTTTAGGGTTTGGGGTTTAGGGTTTAGAATTAGGGTTGAGGGTTGAGGGTTTAGGGTTTAGGGCTTGAACGGCAGAACTACAATGGGTTTTGGGCTTGGGGTTTGGGGGTTTTAGGCTTCGGGAAGCCCAATAGCCTGAACCACAGAACTGTGGTCCTCGCAGGCTTCCAGACCAGCATGTCAAAGTACCCCGACTTCCAAAAAACTCCGGGCATCTTACGATCGACCTTTCCTTAAACGCCTTTATGGGGCTGAGGGCATAGGTTTTGGTGACCTCGTATGGCGGTTCAGAAGGGTTGAGCGTTTGGGGTTATAGGGATACTGTACAGTAGGGCTTACAATTTTTAAGGATTGCCGCAGTCCCAACCCCATTCCCTCAACTTCGACGAGAAGCTCGAGCACAAGGCGCGGAGTTCTGTCAACTTGGTCGGCCTCAGCAGAAACATTCCCCCTGTAACCCCATCAACCCTAAACCCTATCAACCCTAAATCCTACAAAGAGGGGAAGAAGAGGACAAGGGATCCCTTTGCAGAAGGCTTCCTACTCTGACAGATCCTGGCGACCAGTGCAGTCAGATGTCGCCTCATCATCGCCGCACCAGAACTCCTCGAACTGACAGAGCCAAAGTGGAGGGAGCCTAGCCTGTGCCCTAGGACACAGACGTACAACTCTGGGATTAATTGGGCAAGGGAACCTACATCCCACAAAAGCAGGTGAATAATGGCCCTAGACCCTGCCCTTAACCCTAAACCCTAAACCCTTAACACTAAACCCTACTTGTGGCGGGGGGGGGGGGGGGGGCGGGTGTGGCAGGGGGACAGGGGCTGAAGCTGTCGGATGTCGAGTGCTGCTGGGCTTCACGAGGCACACGGCTCTGAATGGATCAGAAACAGGCAACTATCAGAACTAGTATTGCTATTACTACATTATGTTTTTTTCGATTCTTCTCTATCATTACAGTAATATGTGAGTTTGTGCATGTAATACTATAAATTGTACTGGTATGGTCTACTTATGCTATTACTAATATAAACTCTTGCTACTTGTTGAATGTGCTGGCTTCGCACTTCATCAGAAGCTAACTCCGGAAACCTGAAAATCTGGCCTGGGAGGCACAACTCTGCCAAGGCACGCCGAGGGTAACATGGGCTGGGCCCCTGCAAAAATGCACTGAAGCCCCAAACCCTAAACCAAAAGCCCTAGACCCTACTGTTTCTTGGCAGATGGGGTGCTTCGAGTCTTGAACACAGGGGTTGAGGGAAGGGTACTTCGGATTTATAGCAGCACAGAGGGTTTCAGGCAAGCATACTGGCCAAAGGCCTTCCGTTCAAACATTCTTTGACAAAGCTGCAATTCCACTGCTGCCAGATGGCTTTGAGGTCATGTTGGAGGCTGCAATCCTGAACGCTAAAGCCTAAACCCTAAACCCATCTCACATGGCAACTCCTCAAGTATGCTCTCTGCCCCCCGAAAGGCCCAGATGCCGACAATCAGCTGCTTCAGCAACGGACTGGCTCAAGACGATGCTTCACTTTCCCCAACTTGTTCGTCTAAGCCGCGCCGAATACCTGTAGGACCGGCCTGTTCTATACACCTCTGGTATTCCGATACAGAAGACGCGTAACGCAGCATCGGAAATCTTCCCTTGCAGGGTCCACTCAATCTCGGTGATTGGCGACCCGATATTCCATTCGAATTTCGCGATGCATCCTCTCAGGACGAAGCCCAACATTGTCGCAGTCTCAGCTAAAACTTTGGGCCCCCAAGGTGTATCGTACCTATCACCCGGCCCCAGCCACCTTGGAAGCAGCTCCTCGCGCCCGGGCTCAGCACGCAGCGCATCCAACAACTCCTGTGTCTCATTGTAGATGCTATGCTACTGTGCTATAGGCCCAAGAGTAGCCTAGGAATACAAAGGGTGCCCTATTTGGTTTGAAGGGGCTTATGAGCGAGCCTAAACCGCAAAAAGGGAATACGGGCCTACTCAGGGCCCTAGTGTGTCTTGAAATTCCTCAACTGCTTCGCCATGAGCCACCCGGGCGCCTGCACTGGCGAGCTGCTTGGCACGACAATGCCTTGGGCCAAAATCCCAACCCAGACGCTTGGGAGGCTCCAAAGAGTATATCCCTTCGAGGGTTCCTAACAAATGACCCACTAGTAGTATAGGGTAGTAGATCCCTTTAATTTAAGGCTTGCTAAACATGACCCAATAGTAGTATAGGGTAGTAGATCCCTTTATAAGGGCTCCTAAGAATGAAGTTTAGGGTACTTCTCCTCCCAGGGGTCTGGAATCCTGAGCCCGGAAACGAAGTGAAAGACTGAGCACACGTTCAACTGACCGCAAGCGGCTCTGCAAGAACACCTGAATCTTACACTCCAGACGATTGTGGGATGTCATTCTTGAGCTCTTCAGAATCCCAAAAATCCCTCCGGGCCGAAACCAAAACAGAGGCAGCAACGCCTGAAATCATGGAAGCAATGCTCGGCCACAGAACCATGCGAGCGAGCTCGAGGACGTGCGAAAAAGCATCCGGCACAACTGCACGACACCTTCGGAAACCCCATATGGTTGACTCAGCTTTCCATCCATGTGGCGCAGCTCGTAGTGTGCCATGTGGGGCCGCTGAGCAACGTCCGAAGATGTGGCCGGCCTCGGCTCATGTACTCTAGGTCCCAAGACCAACCAAAAGGTGTACATGCTGCGGCATGGAAGGCGAACTACCGTATTTTAAATCTTATAGAAGGTTTCTAAACCCTAGCCCTAAACCCTAAGCCCTAGAAGCTTGAGACATCGTGTGGAGAGGCTTCGGAGGACGCCTGCGACTGAAGTGGCCATGCGTGGGCTGCTTTAAACTAGGGTGGTCTGTGGGCTGCCTGTCCTAAATACGTTCAATACCTGACCGCAAGTATATACATATAGAAAATGTGTATACTATGCCCTTCAAGCAGCAGGAGAGAATCGCTTAGTGCTGGTCCGGCCACAAGCTACCTACAACGCACTCAGCGCATAGCATGCATTCTGCCGGGCATGCTTGTTGAAATGGATATCCGCTACGTCATGCGAGAACAACCTTAAAACCTAAAACCGAATTACCCGAAACCCTACACCCTACAAAGCCTTTGAGACCAGCCAAGCCGCAGTCGAGCAGCAGCACGCTGTCTTGGCGCAGGTCAAGGGCGAAGCACCATGCGCCATGCCACACTACCGCAAACTGCGGGAACCCAAAACGGCTGCATCAATGAACACAGTCCCCCAAACACACCCCACAAAACAATACACGCTTGGGATGCTCCCCCTTATACGAACACTCCATAATAGGGAATATAGTACCCCCTAGTAGAATCCCGAGTAAGGAGCTGGTAGTATAAGGGGGGACAACATCCCAAATACACACATGTTACGAAATCAGCACGACTTGGCGAGACGCACAGCGTGTCAGGGTGCCCTTCTCTGCTTGATGGGGTTCCGAAGAGGCTCCACTGAGGTAAGAGTGTCTCAGACTAGTTACATGGTCCCTTAGTATGGGGACCCACCCCGATACCCTCATATACCCTATACAACCCTGTGCCCCAGGCACCCGAAACCCAACGCTCAACGCAAGGCGTGCCTTGGATAGGAAGGGCTGCACCCGAAGTGGGTCCTTCAAGGGCAAGCGCGAGTAAGGCTTAGGGTTTAGGGTTTAGGGTTTGGGGCTCAGGGTGGGTTTAGGGTTTCGCGCTATGGTTTCGATGTCTGCAAATGCAGCTAGACCTTGCCACTGCTAAATTTTAGATTACGAGCCCCGGTGGAGTCTTGGAGGAACAAATATTTAAGAACGGCTATTCACTGCTCAGGGAACGCGCGGCACCGAGGGCGGCTGATGTTGTGGATCACAAAGACTCCTAGACCAACAGCTAGCTACGCAGCGAGCTAGCTAAACCGTAATTAAATCGTACAAACCCTTAAGACCCCCAAAACCCTAAACACACTAAATACCCTTATACAAAACCCGAAAACACTAAATACCCTTATACAAAACCCTAAAAGCACTAAATACCCTTATACAAAACCCTAAAGACACTAAATACCCTTATAGCCTATTCACTTTCATGAAACTCACGTGAGCCTCTGCCTGTTGTTGCACTGGCGGTGCATTCTCTCAATCAGCACAGTACATGTTTAGGGTTTAGGGTTTAGGGTTTAGGGTTTCATGCCCTTCCATGCTCCTTGGTCTGAGAAAGGATCTCCAGCAACTCATCCTAGGCAGAGCAGCTACTGCACGACAGCACTCCACACAAGCTGATCTGCACTAGGACCTGCTTGGAGGTTCATGGCACTTATTAACCAATTATCAACTGTACTTGCAACTGAACATATAACCATAGAAGGGCACTTAAGGGGCTTATAAGTGGGTTATATGTACAGTTATAATTGGTTATATAATTGGCTAATAAGTACCATGAACCTCCAAGTGTAGGAGGCCCAGCTCACCACCCAGCCAGGGCTGAATACTCAGGCGCACGCGTTGGACAGGAAGTAGAAGCGTGCGAAGGCGCCTCGCTTGGTCTCCAAGTAGTCGTCGAGGCCTGGTCTATCAAGGCATGGTCCCTAAAGCCACATGCCCACACTGCCCAGCCAACCTAACCCTGCACATATACATATGTAAAAAAAATATATATATATATATAGATATGTATATATATATGTATATATATATATGTATATATATATATGTATATATATATATGTATATATATATATACCCAAAGAGCTCATAGCCTTAATCCCCGAATGTGAACCCTACCGGCCTCGACCCTGCAGGACCCCATACCCAGCGTGACCTCCTTACCTTAGTAGCCCAGTAACCATAGTATCATAAGGTTACCCTTTTGGCCGATGAACGCAACAAGTGCAAAAAGGGGTTTAGGGTTTAGGGTTGAGTAGGGTTTTTGGGGTTTAGGGTTTTTGCAGTACCCCCGAATGCCCCCCACCCTAAACCCTAAACCCGAAACCCTTAACCCTATAAACCCTAAACCCTATAGGGTTTATAAACCCGTATAAACCCTAAACCCCCGGATCTACTGCAGCCTTTCTGGACCATGTCCAAGTCTGCGTTGGCGTTGTTCCAGATCTCCAGGAGCCCTTCCTCGGCGTCTCGTTTCGCGTGGATCAGGGCTTGGGGTTTGGGGTCCATGCGGTTTAGGGTTTAGGATTTAGGCCTAGGGTTTGTTACCCCAAACCCCTCCCAAAGATGGGTCCATGGCGGTCATATCAATATGCTCAGCCCAATGTTGGAGTTAAGATGTTTAGGGCTAGGGGCTAAATGGAGGGCTCAGGGGCTTCAGGGATTAGGGTTCAGGGGTCTGGGGTCTGACGGCTGCAGTGGAAAACACACACCAAGTCAAGTTTCAACTCCAGGAAAGCCTTCTGAAGACACTTCACCCAAGAGCATGAACACCACAAGTGCAATGCTCCTGATCTTGGCCACATGCCTAATGAGACAAACTGCACTTCCATTGCGAGCCTTACACGGCTTAGGTCAGCTGACTTCTATGCGAGTGTAGAACTCTCCAGGCTCCAGAAGCAACATTCGCCTTGCCGAAACTACAGCTTCATCATGCTTCACTACTAAACGCCCATGGACCGATGGATACACATAGCTTGACATCAAGTCGATTTTGATGCGAGCTTGCTAGAATAGCCTCCAATGATTTCAGGACAGACTTGGCGGCCACATTGAATGGTCCGACAGAGAGGCCGGCCTTCAGAGACATAAAGCCATACACGTTGGCTCGGTGCTTCAGCTGGGCCAGGCAGTCGGCGCCCATCTTCGAGGCCGGGTCTAAAGTGTAGCGCAGGCTCAGGTATTCATCGATAAACGGCCACTCCGGCACGAAGTCCGCGTCCTCCCAGCCCTGCACATTGGCGCACGGATGCCACAAGCTGCGGAAGTCGAGCGCGACATCGACGAAGCCGAGGTCGTTCCAGTCTATCAGACCAGAGATACGGTACTTCACCCCGGACTCATCGTCCAGCACTCCTTCGTCGCCCTCCTCCACCTCGGAAGCGATCCAGTGCTTGGCGCCCACGTCACAGTGGCCGAGGGCAATCTCCCCGCGTCGCAGCGCTGGGCTGCCATCCGCGCGCCTCGGACGGTCGGAATGCGGAAGGTAGCGTTGCGTTTTCAACGCCTCCAAGACTTCGAACTCGATTTTGTCAAGCACGGCCCGGAACATCGGCGAGCGCTCATCCGCACTCGTCTCCAACGCTAGGGCCTGTAGACGACCACGTCCTTCGCCCTTGCGTTTAACACAGCTGGAAAGGATGTAGTGCAGTATCTGCTCCGTGCACACATCCATCAGCTCCTCGGTGCGGTTCTGGGCCGATTCGACCAGCGCCGGCCAGGCTGGATCCTCGCTGAGGCGCGACTCCATGGTGTGAACCACGGCCAGCATACGCGCCATCGCCACACGGTTGCCGTCCATCAACGCGTCGTAGAATGCACCCGCGCGAAATGTGTCCATCGCCCGACCCTTGGTCCATTCGTAGACGCCGAAACAGAAGCTGCCCTCCTCGTCGAAGACGACGCTGCACAACTTCTGCGGCGCAATGCGAACGCCATGCTGGGATCGCACTTGATCCTCCGCGTCGCCGCCGACCAAGGGCAGCACAGCCACGTCCCTTCGCAGTTCCGTCGCCGACTTCTGGTAGTCCTGCATGGCACCGTCCGGGCGCAGGCCCAAGCGTGGGATGCGCAGCAGGAAGTCTGCACCCTTCGCGTTGCGCGCACGCCAGGCATCGAAGCACGCGCCGTGGCTGATAAACTCCATCGTGAACTCGCCTCCGAAAAAGTCGTCGAGCATCGGTCCATACTCTCCCAAACTCTCCGTCACCACCTGCTTGCGATAGAGTCTCAGCTTCTCGCGCACCCCCTCCTCCTTGATCATCGGCTCCCTCGGCGCCGGAGCACTGCTGGTAGCTGCCTCCGTAGTACGGGCATCCGACGGTGCCTCGGTCGTCTCAGCCGCAGCCGCCATCGATCTCTTCAAAGATGATCCCAAGGTTTTTGTGGCGGATATCTGCTGCCTGTTATTCAAACCTAGGTTGATGCAGAACTCTGCTACATAGCACGGCCCAAGTAAGAGTGGACTGTCTGGGATTCTGTAATGACTCTGAGTTGTTGGTGAGATCTTTAACCTTGCTATCAGATGCTTTTCTACGTGTTGCATATTAATGTGATGGGCATTGCGTGATCATCCCAGAACCCTAGCTGAAAGGATTTGCTCCTTGCCTTTAGAGCTTAGTAGGTCTTAGGGCTTTGGGGCCTAAAGATCAGAAGGTTTCTGGGCAGGGGTCGGAGCCTCTCCGCAACACCCTCTCAGCCCCGAAGTCCTGTGCTACAGGCTCCCGATCCCTCCTTCCTGAAACCCAAACCCCTAAACCCTAAACCCTAAACCCTAAACCCTAAACCCTAAACCCTAAACCCTAAACCCTAAACCCTAAACCCTAAACCCTAAACCCTAAACCCTAAACCCTAAACCCTAAACCCTAAACCCTAAACCCTAAACTAAATACCCCCGAAGCTCTAAGCTTCCGAGCATCCCTCGGAGCAAAACGCTGCACTGCTTTGGGCGTCGTGGGGTTCGTAAGAGATTACAAATCCAAAAGGCAACATACACCTAAACCCCTGGGCAGGGCCCATAAAACCCTCTGAAACATGTTCAGAATAACATGATCCTCTTAACACCCAATAGGGGAAAATGAAAAAGATATCCCAACGGCTTACTTAAGCCCTGGTAACCCTGAAGCCCCCCCCCCCCCCAGAGAACCCTAAGGCCTTATACTAAGCCCGAGACACCTAAAACCCCTCGACCCTCAACCCTCTACAGCTCCCGAAGCCCCCTACTAAAAATCCGATTGAAACACCTGCTAAAGCCCCTAACAAAAACCTCTACTACAACCCCTACTCAAACCCCTAAACCCCCCAAAATATCCCTAAAAGAGCCCTAAACCCTAAACCTTAAACCTTAAACCCTGAACCCTAAATATCCCTAAATCCCCAAAGAAACGCCGGGGTCCCGGCCATAGAGCAAGCTTGCAGGGCCGCAGAGTTCTGGTGCAGACGCGCCATGGTCTGAACAGAATGGAGGGTTTAGGGTTTAGGGTTTAGGGTTTTTGGGTCTTGGGTTTAGGGTTTAGGGTTTAGGATTTAGGGTTTAGTTTAGGATTTAGGATTTAGGGTTTAGGGTTTAGGGTTTAGGGTTTAGGGTGCTAAAGTTTTGCTTCTTTCATTAGGGGTCGAGGCGTTTCGGCTTTGCGTGAGGTTCGGGTTGAGGGGTTGTGAGGCTAGGGGCTTAGGGCTAAGGATTTGGGGTAGAGGGGGATTGACCTTCATGGTTACTTCTGGGACCCCTATAGAAAAGTGGATTAATATAGTTTTAGGGGTACTCGCAATCTACCCTGAACCCTAAACCCTAAACCCTAAACCCTAAACCCTAAACCCTAAACCCTAAACCCTAGATGGACCAAACGCCTCATTGACACGAGCTAGACATGAAAGTCTCAACCCGACACTCCTGGAAAGGTCCCAGCATTCAACCCTAAACCCTAAACCCCAATGGGACCCCAAGATTCAACCTTAAACCCTAAACCCCACACCTTAAACCTTACCCCAACATTCAACCCTAAACCCTAAACCGGCTTTCATAGGACTTTTGCATCCTGTTTGAGCTGCGGCCTGCCGCCACTTGCTGTCGACCAGGCGGAACTTCTTGCCTCTCTTCCACGACTTGGAGGTTCATGGGTACTTATAGGGTTTGGGTTTTCGGGTTTAGGGTATAACCCTACTTATAAGTCTACTTCTAACCTAAGAAGGGGACTTAGGGGGCTTTTAAGTACAGTTATACTTGAGGTTATAAGTACCCTGAACCTCCAAGGACACGGAGGCTCTTGCGATCTCTTGAGGTTTCTACACTACACGTGACTACATGATGCTGGAGTTTGTACCCTAAACCCTAGACCCTAAGCCCCAGTCCCACTGAACCTCTTGTGGCCTGTCCCAGGTGGCTTACTTGACGTCGCGCACACACACACACAGAGTCTCAAGAAGTCACCGGCACCTTGGAGGATCCAAAAAGTAACCTCCCCCCCCCCCCCCACCCCAAATAGTACCCTTTCCTACTATCGGGTTTCGGGTTTGGGGTTAGGGTTCAGGGTTTAGGGGCATTCTTAGTAACCCTGAAAAGGAGAGGTGCATGCCTTCCGTTGGCAGCTGCTTCATGATGTCTGGCGAATCGAAGATTGGCTGCAGGTACATCCATGCCTCGAGGAGATCGGCCCAGTCTCTCAGGACTACGTGCTGAAGCGCGCATAGAGAACTGGGCTATGGCCTATAGCTACAGGAGTTCAGGGTGTTAATTATGCACGACTCAACCCTGTTTAACACCCTGAACCCTAAACCTCCTTACCCCCAAAACCCTGTGAAAGCAACCCCTAAACCCCAAAAAACTGTGACACCCCCGTATCCCCAAACACAAACCCCTAAACCCTGATACGAGTAGCCGTTTATGAACACTTATGAACCCCTATAAACCCTTACAAACCGTTGCAAACACTTATGGACCTTTATAAAACCCGTACAAACCCTGCTACAAACCCTTCTGAACCCTTATAAACCCCTATAGACCCCAAGCCCTGGAGCCCTCCGAGCTCAGCCCCGGACACGCTGCACCTTGAGCCAGCCATCCAGGCACTCGGACATGTAGAGGAGCTTCTCGGCCCACTCCTTGGTTTAGGTGTAGGGTTGTAGGAGTTTTTTTTTCGCTTAGGGGCTCAGGGGCTTCGGTCTTTGAGGTTTAGGGGTTTAGGGGTTTTAGGGTTTGGGCTTAGGGGGGGCTGATTAGGGGTTAAGGGATTGCACTTGTCCAGCTGAAAGGGGATTGAAGGTTCGGGCCTGCGCCTGGCCAGTCAGGCAAGAAGTGATGGTGGGGACTCTCCACTCCTGAAATGGGGTTCTACGAAAATAGGGGACCCCAATATAGATCCCCCCCAAGTAGTAGAATCCCCTTAAATATGGACCCCAAAAAAAATGCCCCCAAATTTCGGAAACTCCCAAATGGAACAAAAAACTGTGGTGGTTCCTGAGGCTTTGGCGTCGATTGCATCCTTGAAGGGCTTGTTGAAGGGAGAGAACTGCATGGCCTTGGGAGGCGGGAGGCCCCACAAAGTAAGGTGAAGCCTTACCCTGAAACCCTAAACTATACTCCCCTTAGAACCTTAACAGAAAAATATGTTTAATATTCTTTTGGTTTTACATGAACAAGAACATAACTCCCAAGGGGGATATAGTAAAAGCTGCCTTCGGCGATTCGATCTCTGCACTTCGTCGGCGACCCCGAATTTAAGGGTTCATTGTTCCAAAAGGCACATGCCCCCTCGCAAATGCCTTCACAGAAGGGGGGGGCCTTGGATAAAGGACCTTCAACAGTCCACGGGCCCTTGGAAGCCAGACTACTCTCCGGGAGGGGGGGTTCCCTAAACCCCAACTCAGGGGCTGAATACCCTAGCCCAAAAAAGGTTAACCGTGTATTTGTAACTGTAATCGGATCATATACATATATATCTATATATGTATATATAACCCAAAAGGTTAAACCTATACGCCCTAAACCCTTATAAACCCTAAACCCTAAACCCTAAAGCGTAAACACTAAACCCTAAACCCTAAACCCTAAACCCTAAACCCTAAACCCTAAACCCTAAACCCTAAACCCTAAACCCTAACCCTAACCCTAACCCTAAACCCAAGCGCCTGGGTCACCACGATCTGCTCGTCAATCAGGGCTATCACCTCATCGGCACCTCAGGCGCTCTGTCCGAGAAGCCCGGAAGCCCAAAGACCCAATGCGATTTTGGGTTTAGGGTTTAGGGTTTGGGGTTTAGGGTTTAGGGTTTAGGAGGGGGGGGGGGGGGGGGGCTAGGCTACCATGAGGAAGGAAGTTAGGCACCTCCACAAAAGTGGTGGAGTCTGACGGTGTAGGGCCGTAGCCGGTGTCAAGATACAAGCCCGGCAAGCCCCCTGAAGAGACCAAAGGTTGTTGTTTTGTTCTTTGTAGGGGGATCTCTGCTAGAAAGACCACTTAGACAATCGATCTTTCACTGGGCCCAAGCGCGCTTCGGTATGCACATGTGACTCAAGGTACTTGACAGTGCTGCAGAAGTTCACTCCGCTCACATTCCTGACTTAAGTTCCTGCACAGGTCAGGCAATGGCGAAATGACTTCCTGTGGTCGTTGCCACGAATATGGACACACTGCTGGTTGGCATGCCACTTCATGTCGGCGCGGTTCGTAGCAGTCATGTAGATCTCGCGCCCCAGTGGACACTGCTGTCGATGTTCTTGAGCATCTCGTCGAAGCTCGTTGATGCGATGTCGCAGCGCACGTGCCTCTTCTTGTTGAAGACTCTCATACTGCCGGTCGTTTTCCAACAGCGTCTCCAGCTCTTGAATGCGATCTCGAAGACATCCGTTTTCGTAGTCCAAGCGAGCGGCGATCTCATGCACCTCCTCGTCGGTGAATTGGCACCCAGTCCTGCGATCCAGCGTTTGGCAACTTGTAGACGTAGTAGGCGGTCGTGTAGAAGACGATGTCGTTGGTCTTGCTGTACCCGTAGAACTGGTTGAAGTGGACGACGTCGAGATGGTTCGAAACCATGAGAAGATGCCGCTGAGGTAGTAGCGAGCCACGCCATACAGCATCCATTCCGTAGCCAGAACGATGCCTGCCAAAGTGACCAGCCATGACCAGTCCTCTTCCCAGAGAGACGCCGTAGTCGCTGACGTAGAGGTCGTCGTAGAGCTCGTGGAAGTAGCCGATGTTGGCGCGGCAATGGTGGCAAACATGGCCAGGTAGCATGTGGAGCGCTTCCAAGTTACGCCGCAGAACATACTTGATGCCACGAAGCGAGCAGATCTGATCTCGGCATCTGTCATGTCAAAGAGGTCGTCAGAAACTTCGTCCATCGAAGGAAGGGTTCTGAGAACCATGTGGTGCTTTCCAGCGTTAGCGAACTGCACGGTGCCGGTGCTCAAGAGCTTCATGAGTGGCGGCGCAATCATGCTCTTGGTGAGGCCGTCCGCCGTCATGGATTCCGTTGGGGTCAGAACGATCCACCGGAGTCGGCCTTGGAGCCTTGCCTCGCGGAAAGCCATGATGTACAGCCGCTGGTTCTTGTCCTGCGCCACCGACTTGTCGCCCGACGCAAGCTCGAAGAAGTCCTTGCAGTCGGTGTAGTCGTCGACCGGAAGCTCGGGAACTCCACGTTCTTGCAACGCCACCAATCCTTGGATAGTGGGCTTCTTGACCACGTACAGGAGTTCGGCCAGTCTGATGGATACCATGGTGCTGGCCTCCAAGCCGCTGATCGCTGCTAGAGTCTCTGCATGACTCGTGCTGTAGCTGATGCGCTTCGCCTTGGCACCATGAGCCCACAGGATGTGGGATCGTCCACCCATGAGCTTTGTCTCGCGGTCCTCGAGCGTGTGTTCTTCGCCAGGATCGAAATGAAGACGATCTTAATTCACAGAGGAGAACGAGAACTCCTTCTTGTGCGTAGTTGCGAACGTTGCCAGCTGCGCTTGAATCATGAATGCTGGCAAGACGTAGAGGTGGAACTAACTTCCTGTAGTGGAGACCTAGGTTCTGGCCCAGCTCCTTTTTCGCACGCTGAACCACGTTGTTGGCCTGTCTCAGGTGCACGATTTTCGCTCGTGTCACTTGCGCCTGCAAAATGCACACGTCGGCCACCAAGTCCAGTCTTGTAGCCGTCAGCCAAAGCAAGCCGCCCAAAATGGACCGAAAAGCTGTCACCTCTGAGGGACACAAGGCCTCGTCGTCCTTCTTGTGTCCAGGCACGTCCACGGGCTTCAACTTCTCGCAGAAAGCATCCTGAGTCATGCTGAAGCCATCAGGTATCCGCGAGTACAGAACACCGCAATGCACAAATGGAAGTGTCTGGCGAGTGACCTTTCCGAAGGCGTTGACCAATGCCTCCAGCTGCTGCTTTAGCCACGTTGACTTTCCGCCAGCGCCGCAGTCGTCAACATGTGTTGTGGTAAGACCGAGCACTCTGCCAGATGTCTTCTCGCTCCACTTGAAGAGGTTCTCGTCCAAGAGACTAGCCACGCCTCCTTGTGCCTCGAAGTGAGCATGGAGGCACAGCTGCCAGGCCAGTGGAGCATCTGAGAGACCATAGATGGGCTTGTTGCAGAGCAGCAAGTAGGAACCCACTTGGTCTTCCCGAACATCAAACGCTTTGTCGAACTTAGCCAAGTGCCTCCACACGTTCATCGGAACCACGACTGCGACCTTCCTCGTGGGAGCTTTGATGCCTTTTGACTTCAGCATCTCCTGGATCTTCTCGAAGCTGAGGCCCTTCAAGAATGCCCCAGAAACATCCCAGGATTCCACGTCGAAGCCCTCGTTGGCCGCAGTGCTCAAGAGGATGCGCTGACTCAGCCGCGTTGCTGTGGTGCTCCGAGTCGACAACATGTCCTTCTGCTTGTCGAAACAGCCCCGGGCACACATCCTTGACTTAACCTTGCGTGTGCCATCGGGCTGGCGTTTCCACTTTCGGACCCACACGCAGTCGACGACCACCATGCCGTCTGTCAGCGCATTCACGTGGATCTTAGAGAAGCACTTGGTGTCCACAAACTGCTTGATCTCTGCTTCGTCGGCGCTGTCGACCTGGTCCCAGACGTCGTAGCATTCCTGCTCTGTCAGGTTGTCCGTCTCCTCGTCGACCTTGTATATCTTGCAAGTGTTCATGTCGACTAGCAGCTCTTGGCTGGTTCTGCCCGGCCACGTGAAGAGGTACTGGCTGACACGAAGAGAAGGTCCCGCTGAGGAAGTCGATGTCACGTAGGCCTGCGTTTGTTTGCTGCCCCACTGAGCTGACTCATCATTGACCAGGTCGGAGTAGTTCCGGCTCATGTAAATATCCCACTGCGCCGTGAGATGGTTGTTGTCCTCCAACAGCCAACTCATGGGGTACTCTGTGGAGTGAAGCTGCTTTCTGGACATCAACTCGTAGATGTTCAGCCAGTTGTGCTGGGACACTGTGTGGACCTTCTCAGACCGGGCCATGTCCAGGTACGTGTCCAGCTTGCTTTTTTTCGTCTCTGGAGCAATGGTGACTGTTCTGCTATCGAGACCCTTTCGCTTGTGGCCCTGGACATCCACGTCCATGTCGGCAGGTGGCACAGATGATGCCGGCAGCGCAGTTCCTCCTGAGGAAGGAGACGAAGATTGCGGCGAAGAGGAAGACGCTGCTCCAGCATTGGTTCCTGCATCGTCGACTTCCATAGCCTTTACTTGCTCTCCTTCAGGGGGAACCACCTTCAACTTTGGCACAATCTCGTACTCTGGGAACACGTAGCAGAAGATGTAGAGAACCACAAGCTTCTCTGTGGGTATTGATGTGATCTTCTTCATGGTCAGCGGGTCGTCGTTGTTGTGCTCGTAGCTGCTGTACCCCGTGTCCCCTTGCTTCCACATGAGCAGAATCCCGACTGACTGGCGTGGAGGATGCAAGGTTTTAATGCCTTGGCCCATCATAGCGCCTCCGATATTGCGGGTGGTCAAGGCCTTTCCAAGAGATGACACCCTTGACCATGCTTCGCCATACGCCAGGGATTCTGAGGATGCCCGAGTCCACGTCGTCACGTTGTTCTTTGTCTGAGGCACCCATCCAATCGTTGTGACCTTGTAGAGGGGGCCATGCTCGATGACGTTCTTCAACCACTGGAAGCTGTCCATCTGGATGGTAGTCATACTGACGAAGACTCCTGCTTGGTGAGGCCGTATATGTCTGAAGCTCACCAAGTAGGGACGACCTTGGAACTCCAGAATGGCTGAGCCCTCTTCTCGGTTCAACTTGAGCAGCGTAGCGGGCCCTCGCCATCCAACATCGCCAGCGACCTCTCGGTGGAAGTCCACTCTAGACGTTCCGGGGACCATCGTTCCAACGTCCAGGTTATGGGGCCTGGTCCTGTTGGCTCGGGCGATTCTGTCCTCAGCCACCGCCTTATGCACCATGCTCATTGCTAGCTGTCGAATGCGAAGGGCCTTTTCGAAGGGTGTGACGTCGGTCTGCAAGGCGCCAGCCACTGCCGTGATGGTCTCGCTGTCTTCCTGGTAGAAGGGGCGAGGCAGCACTCCAAAAACTGCCATGCTTGGCGTTGCGCCGCCATAGTTGAGAGACTGGTTGTGGGCCATGGCTGCTTCTCGGGCGAGGTCATGCGGTTCAATCTGGATGCCTTGACGATTAAGTTCGGCTTCCAGCTTCTGCATGGTGATCTCCATCAGGCCCACATGACGTTCAACTAGCCCGGTGCCGGTGTGTTGCTTGCCAGCTGGCCCAGAAGTTGTTCCCTTCGGAATGCGTGACACATGGAACCGCTCTAGTTCTCGTCCTGCTTCATGACTCATCAGGCTTGACTCTTGGTCCATCACAAGCTGTTGCGGCGGGCCGAAGGTGAAGAACCAGTGGTCCAGAAGTTTTCCAAGTAGTTCTCCAAGCTCTCGCGACTTCACTGCCGCTGCCGCCTTGTACCTTGTGGCTTCGTCAACCATGAGCAGAATCCAGGTCTCCTTGTACATGTAGAGGTCGATCTGCACTCTCATGTTGAAGGCTGCAGCATTTGATCCAATTTTCACTTGTGGTCTGTTTGGAAGCCTCACATGCTTTCGACAGATGCTGCAGTTCATCACCGCTTCTTCAGCCAGAGGAAACAGAGCCGAAGACAATCCAGCTCGAAGCAACATGTTCTTCATGTCCGTAATCGGCGCGTGGTAGAACCTCTCATGTAGACCAAGAAGAAGTCGTTTGGCTGTCAGGGGGTCGCTGCTCACCAATCCATCATCAGCCAGTCTGCGATACACCTTCCGAAAGTCAAAGAGGGGCTTCAGGATCTTGCCTTCTTCATTTCTGCTGGCTGGATCTCCTTCGGCCTCTGGTCGCACGGCGTCGAAAGTCTCCTCCAGAGAGTCGTCGTCACCAGGGGCCGCCAGCTTCTCCTCATCCTCTTTTCTTTCCGGCACGAAGGGGGCCGCCGGCTGCGCCGACCGAGGCCGCGCAGCTGCAGAAGAGGAAGCAGTGGGCCGATCCACATCGGCGTCGCCGGTGCGGTAGCCGAAGCAATGGATGTGCCAGTCGGCCTCGTCGACGGGAGCATGAAGTTGACTGTGGCCCATCAGGCGCATGTCCTCGACAGCATGCACCTGCCAAGAACGCAAAGCCCCATCCACAAGCAAGCGCAAAGGTGCCGCAGACGACGACAGGTATGGATCAGGTACTTTTCGAGTCCATGGACGAAGCGAGCAAAGAACACCGAGGACTTGGAAAGTGTCGAGGAAGACGTCCTGGAAGACACGGAGAAGGATGGGATCCTCGACCCAGTGGTCACTATGCACGCTCTTCTCCTTGGCAAAGAGGTCGAGACAAGACTCCACCAGCTGCATGAGCGCGGCCTTGAGGTAAAGCTGGTTGTCGTCCGTGATCTGCAAAGAGGCGTCCACAGCCAGCCGAATCATGCTGTAGTCGCCGGACTTCGCCAGAAACTTGAACGGACCAGTGGGGTCCTCCAAATCCGACAAAGTTGGACGAGGTTGACGCGTTGTCCGCGCGGAAGGTACGCCACGAACACCAGGTTGACCATAGCGACACTCGCCGGGGGCCAGGGAGTGCTCACAGCCCGGCGGCGCTGCGCGACCAAGTCGACACTTTTCGCAGCTGTAGAAGAACCCATGCAACCAGAACAACGTCCGCGGCCAGGGCTTGCAGGTGTGAAGTTGATCAGCACGAAGAAGTCGCCAAAGGTCTTGACCGAACGCGTGACACAAGCGCTTGGGATAGACGGCCGCCAAAGTGGTGCGGTTGCAGCCATTGCATTGCCCTTGAAGAACGCCATGAGGTCGACCCTTGTGGCCCGAGCAGCGCTTGATGAGGACTTTCCATTTGCGATTGCTGAGAAAGGTAGTCGCCTTTCGGATGGGATTTTGATGTTCATCTTGAGCGCCCAGCATACATTGGTCCAGGCGTTGCACGCCGACTCCCTCCATGTTCGTCAGGCGTGCAACCGGACTGTCACGATACATCGCCGACCCTGTGGGTTGCTCGATCGTGAAGCCAAGCTCGTGGTGGTGTTGCCATGAGGCGCTGTTAAAGATGAACTCCAAGGTGGGAAGCTCAGCAGCCCGATCGAAAGAACGTTTGGCCGGATCTTTTCCAGCAGAAGCTATGGACCATGGACCACGGTTTGGCGCTGCAAAGAGGTGCGCAGGCAGCAAAGATTGTTGACACTCGTGTAGAAGCTTCTGATGTCCAGCATGTCCAAGGTCCCAGCCATACCGATAGTCCACAGGGAAGCCGACCACGAAGTTGGCCAGCAACAGCATTAGCGACAGCCTCCCTGAACCAGAGCACCATTCCCAAAACTGAAAGCGAAGTTCCTTACCGCGCGCTTGCTGTAGCCATTCTCGAGCGTTGCGCGGCGTGACGGGTCGTCGTCCAGACTTCGTGTAGAACTCCTCGGGGATGGCGCGGTAGTACTGTTGGGCCTGCTTTGTTCGCTCAGCAGACCAGTGCTCAGGAAAGTGGTCGCCATCATACGCTGGGAACGCTTCCGGGTCCAGATAGTGCGTTTCACTGGCTGCTTGGTTGGCCGTGGAAGGCGAAGAGGAAGGTTGTGCTTGTAGTGGTTCTGGTGTTGTCACTGGAGTAGCATCCCGCTGCAACAGGCGAAACTTGGTCTTGCCAGTCCAAAGGTACTCCAGGTCCTTGTTGCTGTTGCTGCCACATATCCAGTCGTCCTTCAGCACTTTCAGAACTGTCTTCTTGCCGACCGCGCGGATCTCAGTGATCCTGTCGCCAAGAACCATGGTCGGGTCGATGGGGCAGTCGATGGCGCATGGAGGAGTGAATAGCATCCTCCGAGGCGTTCGATGATGTCGGATCAGGTAGCTGCCTTCGACTGTCCACGTGTCACGTTCCTTCCTCGCTGGAGGATCTCCCAGAAAAGGCTTTGTAGAGTACTTGGTCGTAGAAGCTGGAGATGTCGTAGCGGATGCGGGTGTTGGCGTGAATGCGTCGTTGGAGGTAGCACATGAAGTGGCTGTTGTGTCCGCCGTAGTTGACGCGCTTGGTTCATGGCTGTCGCGACTTTCACATTGGACTCCTTGTAGCGATGAAGGTGTGCTTTTCGGAGTGGATGTTGCGGATGGATATGACGGGTACCGCTCACATTCCCGACTGGGGCAGCCTTGAAGGAAACAATGCCTCACATCGTTCCATTGCTGACTCGTCTCGGCTGCCCACAGGTAGAGCTGCTTGTTTGCCTTCTTAGTTGTCTCCTCAGACACTTCGCGGGCGTCATCAACGGGCAGCAGGTAGTGGCCGGAGTCCGTCAGGAGCATTCGCATGTAGTGCCAGCCATGGTTGTCATCCCAGGTGGCCAGAACTCCATCGCCATTGCTGAACCAGTCCGTCAGGATAGACGCCCGCTGCTTCCGCAGTGCAGGGTTGCTTAGCAAGGCGGGACACAGAGAGCCTTCTCCGCCTATGACGTCTGCACTGAAAGAGCCAGTGGCCCCGGCCAACTGCACTGGGATGGAGACCTCGCCGAGCGTGGCCTCCTGTGTGCCTGAGATGCCGCTCACACTGTTTTGCTTATCGTAGCGCCACGAGACCTGCTTGCCAGTAGGTAGAGCACAATGCTCCAACAGATCTCGCAGCGTTTCGCTTCCAATCAACCCAGAAGCTGCACCTGGATCGACAAGTAGCCCGCGACGCTTTTCGCCCTTCACGGTGTGGAATGCCGCGTGGTCGCTGTAGATGGACGTTGCGAAAGAGAAGTCCAACCTCTTGACCACGGGGTTGCTGGTGCCACTGGCAGTAGACGAAGATGTCGCTGTAGGGTCGCTACCATTTGGCTCCTCGTTGTCGGACTTCTCGGTTGTTGCAATCGCTTTGACTCCACCGAGGGCAATGACAGGGACCTCGTCGTCTGCGTCGAGCTGGAAGTGCACCGCCTTGGTCTTGACGGGCGGAGTGAGCTGCCTTGGTTCCCCAAAACAGCTTCGCAGTGTCTTCTCTGCCACGTAGCCATAGTAGCCGTAGCCCTTTCGACCGCTAGACCCTTTTCCACGCGGTGTCCAGCGAGACTTGCCTTTTCCCTTCTTGCCCTTCTTGCCCTTGCCGAAGCCCTTACTGGACCCATAGCCCTTGCCTTTGTAGGGTCGAAAGCCAGAGCCCTTTCCAGAGCCACTGCCGGAGTTGTTCACGGGGCAAGACGGAGCGGTGTGCCAGCGAGAGCCACATATGGAGCAACCAATGCCTTTGCCCTTGCCTTTGACCGGGTAGTTGCCCTCGACGACGTTGCCATCTCCATCGCGTTCGGAGGCGGCTGCCTGCAGGCCGCCTCCACCAGAAACAGCGGAAGCGGATGTATCGTCTGCGTCATCGCCATAGCCGCTCCAGCTGTCCCAGTTGCCACCAGATTCCCAGCCTTCATCTGGGGGCCAGAAGTCTTCGTCGTACTCCTGAGACTCGTCCTGGTAGAAGTCCTCGGCCCAGGACCAGCCATCTTCCGTCCAGTCGTACTCATCCCAGTCTTCAGCAAAGTAGTTCTCGTCGTTCCAATTCTCCTCGACGTAGAGCTCGGCGCCGGCGTCCGTGCCTCTGTTGACAAGTCGCAACGCAAGGGTCTTGGCCTCGATGAAGCGTCTCATGTCGCCTTGCACCTGCAGCTTGATGTCCTCGATGAGCTTAGCAGGAAGCCCTGAGTTGCGGAAGAACAGGTAGAACTTCGCCACCTCGTTGACCTCGAAGCCAGCCCGAGCCGTTGCCTCCTCCAAGCGGATCTCCCATTCGACGGCATACTCGGAGAAGCTGAGCTTGCCTCTGCGAAACTCCATGAAGTCTTCGATGGAGCGACTCACCATCTCTTGGTCCGAGACGCCGAAGGCAGCTCTCAAGCTGTTGCACAGAGCTTGAACTCCAGAGGGGCAGTGTTGTTGGAGCACCACCGAAGGGTTGTAGGGATCTCGAACTTCTTCTATGCTCAGACGCACCAGGGCATCCGATCCGACGTCTACTCCTCCGTCAGGACGGGGTAGCCTCAGCTGCATTCCAAGGCGTTGCGCCTTGCCTTGCAGCCTCCCAGCCACCAGTGGTCCAACCATGGTGTCGTCTCCATCATACACAGAGTACCACAGCTTCAAGCGCTCGAAGAACAGACGAAGGGGATAGTCTGGTATCCCTGGCGCCCATCCAGGAGGCACATCTTTCCTGAACTCGTGCAAAGGGATGCCTCCGCCTCCTGGTGTCGCCATTGCGCCGAAGAGCTTGCCGAGGATCAAGTAGCCGAAGACAAGGGCGCTCGGGCTGTAGAGACCGTGCAAGCTCGGGCGCCTCGCGCCGAGATCGTTCAGGCTGTCGGTGCTGGAGTCGTTCAGGCAGTCGTGCTCGATGTCCACGAAGTGTCGTGTCCTTCCCAGGCAACTGACCTCGTAGTGCGGGTGACACTGTTGGGGGCCGCAAAGGCCGAAAACTGATCTTGTCCACTCGGTCTGGTTGTTGGGCACAGCGATGCCCAGCTTCAGCAGAAACAACCAGATGTGTCGAATTGAGCGGGCTCCAAGGATCGTCGTGAAGGTGAAGGGAGCTGGGCAAACCAGCTCAGGACCGCGGAAGTCCTTGGCAGCCCTATGGCGTCGCTTGGCTTTACACGGAGACCAGGCTCCGCTACCAAACTTAGACAATCGATCTTTCACTGGGCCCAAGCGCGCTTCGGTATGCACATGTGACTCAAGGTACTTGACAGTGCTGCAGAAGTTCACTAGACCTATAGGGGTCATTTGGGGCTGGCGACCGGTGGTGTCGGGGGTGCGAGGGTTTGGGGTTCAGGGCTCCAAAACTGTCAACAACAAAAACAATGTGTATATGCATGTATACACACACGCGCAATTATCAAACACAGGAGCAGCAAGGAGGGCCCTGTCAAGGCTATGGACATACGAGGCTCCCAATGTATAGGAAAAGCATTGCCCTCTAGCCGCCGAGGTTTTGGGAACTCCCTGCCTACCTATGCCACCATCCTACCCCCGTATATACCTACCGGCATGCTTACCCACCTGCAAGTTATTGCTTCAGTGCGTCAAATCACCTACCCGAAAGACAGCTTAACTACGAGCCTCCTACCACTTACTTGCGCTTTGTTCGACAGAGACATGTACCGCTACGGTTGCTGCTGCTATGCACGCGGGAAGGTAAGACACGGACACCTGTAACCTTTTTTGAGTACAAGCGCATATGCCATTTGGAATGATAAATGCACGAGATACATATATATATATATATATACATATGTGTGTAGCTGCATATACAGTGTCTGTGTGTATATATATACACACACACCTGCACGCGTGTGTACAGATAGCGGGTGAACATGCACACTGCAACATAAGGCTCCTTTTCAAGATCCTTCACGGTTTAAGCTGGTAAAGAATTGCATAGTGACTACTTGGGGGCTAAGTATTTCACAATGGAGCATCTGCTCCATGAAGCCCAACATGCAGCAACTGCGCCTTTCAAGATGTAGGTCTCCGTGGTACGGTAGGGCCTGAAAGCAGAAATGCATTGGCTCAGCTGCCGTAAACCCTATAAACCCTAAACCCTATATACTAAAGGGTTTTGGGCCAGGATAGCTCGGAGTTTGCGAGCTTGAAGGCTGGCACAGGGCTTTCTGCGGATATCTTGCGACACCACACTCAGATGGGTACTTCCCAAATGGGCACCCTCTGACTCAATTCCCCCCCTCCCCCCCACCAAAAAAAAACATAGCACCCTCAACCCTAAACCCTGATCCGTAAACCCTAAACCCTAAATCTTAAGGGAAGCTCCCAGCTCTGCAGAACTGTAGAGATGCCAGTCAGAAGGATGGCTTGGCATCGCACTCATTGCAGTCAAACTTCATGTTGTCCCACCTTGCGTCGTCTGCTTGCACTCTGCAAGGGACTGATTTGGGGGACCTCTAGCGTCATGGTTACATAAGAACACCCATAAACCCTAAACCGAAAACATCAGATTCTTGGGGACGAAATGAACCCTAAACTTGGGTTCGTGCATCCTCTACTACTAGAATCCCCCCTTAGGGTCTAGAAACCATGAAACCCCTTTCAGCAGCGTTCATGTGGGCCCCCAAGACTGCAATCCAGGACGGGCTATTATACCCTATAACCCCTGAGAAAGGCCCTTTCTAGGGTTATTCTACCCTATAAGCCCTGAAAAAGGCTCTTTATCGTTGTGGGGATTATAGAGCCTTATAGCCCATCCTGGATCGGGGATCTGGGTCGAGCAGAGCTCCTGACGCGCTCATCATGTTGGTCAACTGCGTCTCAATCGACAGCTCCTCTAGGGCTTTAGGGCCTCACAGGCGGCCTCGGGGCTTGTGGAGCTGTGGAGGGTTTAGGGTTTAGGGTTTAGGGTTTAGGGTTTAGGGTTTAGGGTTTAGGGTTTAGGTCGGGTTTTTAGGGTTTTGTTTATTGGGTTTTGGGTCTCAAGGTTCAGGGTTTCAGGGCTTCACAGCTCCTTGCCACTGCGGTCGCCGATGTCGCTGATCCTCAGGCATGGCGACGAGAGGGCTTAGGGTTCACGATGAGGGTTCGGGGGTGTAGGCTTTGGGGGAGGGCCGCATCTGATTCTCGAAGCAGTCAGCGCCCTTTCTTCAGGATCTCCTGATGATGTTGCCCTCTGTTGGGTGTAAATGCTTACTCTCCGCCCCTCCAGAGACAGCGCATGTTCCTCGTGTGACGATTCAACCCCCCCACCCCCCAGCCCGAAACCTAAACCCTGAACCCTAAGCTCGACGAACGAGGGCGCAAAGGGTTACCATTGTGTACGAAAGGAAGCCAATGCCTCGAAATCAAGAGCCTACGTAGATTTAATAGCCTAGACGGTCTAAACCCAAAACACTTAACCACAAACACCCTAAACCCCCTACCTGAAAACCCTAAACCCTGAACCCCGATACCCTAAACCCCTAAAACGCCGTTTAAAACGCTATATCACCCTCGCCCCTGTGATTATAAGGAACCGATGCTTCAGCTCCAGGCGTGGACACGTGGTCCAGCATGCCTGGGTCAAGTATATAGCGATGGTTTATAGGGGTTTAGGGTTTAGGGTTAGGGTTTAGGGCTTGAAGTTTAGGGCTTTTTAGGGGTTTCGGGTTTTCTTGCGGACGATCCATGCGGGAGGCACGCAAAGATCTAAAACGGAGACTTAGGACAAATGAATTATGAATTCGCACGTCGCTTGGTGCGTTGGGATTGTAATTATGTATCGGTTCCATACTTCAGTGGGATGGACAATCGGGACATCACATGGAATTGCCTTTTGGACAGGAGCGAAGGGGCTTTTCATAGCTTTAGCAAAAGACCCCTCATCAAAGACGGCCAAAACTTGATGCCTGATTTCGCGTTGCTCCTTTGGAGCAAACTGTACTGACTGTACCGGCTCAGATACTCCTGCAAACCTCAAAGACTGCGTGCGACGAAGATTGAAGTCAAACCCTGCGCGGATAGGGGTTCAGGAGTTTAGGGTTGAGGGGTGTAGGGGCTTAGGGGTGCTTGGGGGTGTAGGGGCTCAGGGGTTTAGGGTTTGCAGGGGCTTTAGGGGGGGGTCATCTAGGAGTTGTGCCTGTAATTTGGTTTGCCACAGGGTTTGTGCTGCAGCACGCTTTCCCCCTATAGCCCCAAGTGCATCCTGGGTGCCCAGAGAAATGAAGGACTTGAGGGTGAACTCCTCCATCTCCGGATCTCAGCCGCGATGCACATGGAAAAATGAGTGATCCTCTTTGCTTGCCGACAGATGGATAATCTGTTAACTATAACAAAAGTGGAGAGGCTCGGTATTGGAATAAGGAGCCCCAAACGGGGCCCTCGTTTCGGATCTACCACATGTGCCGCAGGGCTATTTGGGTACTTCCCCGAAATTGGATATACCCCTTTTATACCCCAAATAGAATAGAATCCCCTTAAAGGGACACCCAACAAATATTTTCCACCCTGCCTAAACCCTAAACCCTGAACCCTAAACCGGTTTTGTTGCAGGGCGCACAAGACGAAGGCTCTTGGCCGGTCCCTTCGCATCTGGGGAGTCGACTGACTTCATTGCCCACCAGCTCGCTAACCTCGCTTGAAGCTCAACCCTTAACTTGGGATGTTCCCCCCCCCCTATGCTAACAGTCCTTACTAGGGATTCTTGTACCCCCTACTATAAACCCTAGCAGTATAAGGCGGAACCTCCCACAGCTAAACCCTACAGCTCGAAAGCCACGCAGAAGCAACAGTGAGCACGAGCCGCGCCTGCGCCCAGTGCCTGTCCCGCATGCCAGGATTGCGCAGGCCCGTGACCTGAAGTTTGTTGCCGTTTCGGGTGTCTTGCTCCACTATGGTAACCGTAAATCTATATTTCTGATGCCTTGTCACAGTACAGTACCCATAACAAGTCAAATACCTGAAGGTTCGATGATGTTCGCTGTTCTTTTGTAGCAGCAGACGTTTCACAGATCCAGCCCCTGCAACCCGAGAATGCTCGGACGAGTGACCCCTATTGTTACTTTTGCTGGCTGTTCCTTTCATAGGACTGAGCATGGCATGTAGATTCTTGAAGGACACCCGGTGCGCCTGTCTTCTCGGAAATGCAAAGCAAACAGCCAGGCCATCATCCCCCAGGCCCCATACGCCCCAAAACCCACAACCCTCCAAGCTCTAGGCCCTCAGCCCTCAATCCTAAACCCTCAACCCGAAAGGAGGGGATTCAGTTCACCTGGGCCCCCCCCCCAAGTGCACAAGAGGTCTCGAATAAAGTTTATATGCCTTCTAACCTATTGAACCAAAAAAGGTTCCAAAATTGAGGGTTTTTTAACGTTAAAAAACTCTAAAGAAAGTTTATGCCTTCTAACCTATTGTACCAACAAAGGTTCCAAAATTGAGTGTTTCTGCACGGCGCCTGTGCCCCGGTGTATCAGATCTCAGGCCCGCGCTATGGGGACGTACGGCTGGAAGGCATCGATCTGCCCCTGGAATAGCCCTAAACCCTAAACCCTAAACCCTAAGCCCTAAACCCTAAACCCTAAACCCCCGAAAAACCCCTGGAAGAGAGGGTCCACTGTGTGAGGGTTGAGGGTCTTACGGAAGGAGGTCTACGCACCGGAGCTCAGCCGGAGAATCTCGGAGTGCCCGATGAGGATTTATCGGTCAGGGCTGGGGCTCGCTTAGGAAGTGCCAGTGCTGGCACAGCGTAGCGTAGGTCTTCGGCATCGGTGTGCGAGTCTGTTCGGAAAATACTCAAGAAATCGAACCTGAAACCCTGACAGGGCCTATGAGCGAATAAAAGCCCTAAGCCCCAGCCAGCAGTATTAAGGTCTACTAAACCCTACTTAAACCCTTCATACAGCTCGATCTACTAAAACCCGAATTCAACCCTATAAAGCCCTGAAGTCCTGTCGAAGTCTGAAAGGCACCTTGATGTCTCTGGCGATTTGCAGCACTTTGCCAGCGTCCTCCCTCTTCTCGAGACCTTTGACCTTTCAGGGCACTCTTTGCGATTCCTATCACACAGCTGCGGGCTCTGGCTCCCCTGTTTTAAGATCTAAGGCGATCGGCTGCATCCTCCAGCAAGGTTGTACCCTTGGGTTTTGGGGGTCCCTCTAGGGGAATATCAGGGCCATATTAGGAGTATATTAGGGGGCGAACCTCTTAGGGGTACAACCAGCTTTAAGGCACCGGACCGTCTTGAAGAGAGTCTTGGCTCCGGTCGTCACCGACTGCTCACCTGGCCACCAGCTTGGCAAAACCATAGGGGAGAGGAGTAGGGGGGGGGACCCTTGGGGGATATAGACCCTCTGAATAAGGCCACTGCATTAAGAGAGCCAGAAGGGGGGTTAAGAAGGTTCCCTTTTTAAGGGTCCCCCCCCCTTACCCTACCCAGGAAACAAGTCAGGGAAAGAGCTGGTCATGACTGATGGAGTTCTGGAGTCCTCGGAGTCGGAAGTTATGCCAGTGCCGAGGACAGCTTGTAGGCTGGGGTTTAGGGTTTAGGGTTTAGGGTTTAGGGTTTAGGGCTTAGGGTTTAGGGTTTAGGGTTTAGGGCTTAGGGTTTAGGGTTTAGGGTTTAGGGTTTAGGGTTCAGGGTTTAGGGTTTAGGGTTTAGGGTTTAGGGGCAACACAAGCCCCGGATGGCAATACTTGGCGTCGATCTCATGGAAGGGGCCATTCCTGGTTCGCTTCCAGGCCAGACACTGAGATTGGCTCTGCCCGACATCACGCAGTCAGTGCTCTGACTTGGGGTCGCTTGTCTTGTAGCTCGGTAGCCCAGTAACCATCTCATAGTAAGGGCACCCGTTTTTAGTTGGCTACTATATATAAGATAAACCCAGAACCCCAAAAAAGGGTAAAGGGTACCACTGGGCTTCCAAGGTAGGTTCAGACGACGCAGCGACACAGCAGAGATCTGCTCAGAGCTACTGAGGCCGCCGCATCCACTTCTCAGAGTCTTCCAGCCAGTGGTAGGCAGTGACCTGAGTTGCAGGCTATTTGGGCCATAAGGCTTTTGAGCTCTCTAGTAGCAGCTGCTTTCGGGATCTGCAGCCTGAGACAGATGCCCATAGTTGGGAGAAAGGTTCCCACTCCTGCCCAAGCAAAGGAGCTGACTTCATAACTGAAACAGACTGAAGAAGATAGAAGATGGAAGGCCAGTGCACTGACATAGGGGCCTGCTATCAGAAGCAAGTGCTGGCACTCGGTTCGCTGGAGCCCGACAAGTGGCTCTAAAACAAACTCTGCGGCTGCCTTCTGGAGTTGCTGCAGGTGGGTGTAGTCGGAAGACTCTTGCCCAAAGAGCGCCTGGGCTCACAGGAAGGCTGTCTCGGTGACGGGTGTGGCCGATCAGCATTTGTTTTGTCATTTGTTTTTCTTTGTTTTTTTTTTCGGGGGGGGGGGGGGTTGGGGTTCAGGGGGATGTACTCTACAGCCTCTTCTGAGCGCCCTTGTTGCTGCATTTGCTTCTCAATCGGGCGGCTGCTATCTTGGGATGTGAGCTCTGCATGCCATCCCGACGGGAACCACAAGAACTGCGCACGCTATCGAGGTGTACTGAGTCTGCCTGGACCCTGCGATGGTATTCCTTGTTTTGTTGGGGGCGGGGGGGGGCAACTGTAAAACAAGGTCCGGGGGGTGGGGGGGGGGGGGGGCTCCAGGTAGGATATATAGGGCCCCCGCAATGTTCTACCCTAGCATGAGCGGGGGGGGGGGGGGGGTTATAGCCTATGGGGAAACGGGTGAAGCCCCAAAAACACATGAAATCCTGAATCCTAACCTAAACCCTAAACCCTAAGCCCTAAGCCCTAAGCCCCAAACCCTAAGCCCAACAAAAGCTGGGTTGGCCCTTAAAGCCCTCTTTCGAAGAGATTTGGAATACTTTCTTAAGCTCAATATACGGGGAGATCAGATAGCAGATCTCCAAAGGGCCTCGACCTAGAAAACCCTTAAAGCTCCAACTAAACCATAAACCCCAAACCCCTAAACCCTAACCCCTAAACCCTAAACCCGAAACCCTAAACCCTAAACCCTAAACCCTAAACCCGAAACCCTAAACCCGAAACCCGAAACCCTAAACCCGAAACCCGAAACCCGAAACCCTAAACCCGAAACCCTAAACCCTAAACCCTAAACCCGAAACCCTAAACCCGAAACCCTCCCACTCGACCATGGGCCCCTCTGTAGGCCTCGCGGGAGTTGAAGAGCTTGGCCTGGGACGAGGCCTGCTTCAGGCGCTCGTTGACGCCTCAAAAACAACGGGGACTCGAGGGCTTTAGGGCTCAAAGGGTTTCGGGTTTCGGGTTTCGGGTTTAGGGTTTAGGGTTTAGGGTTTCGGGTTTAGGGTAGCTCAATGGGGTCTACAGGGTTGAATAGGGCGTGTAGGGAATCTGGAGGAGGGCGGTTGGGGGTGTGGCGGATTTCCAGGCTTTGTTCTCTGTCTCTATCTAAGGCTTGTCCAAAGGGTGTAGTTTGGGTGCATAGGTTTCGGGGTGTAAACTTGGGAAGGTGAGGTTTTGGGGAGCCAGCGCAGCTTGGGAATTTCGGGGGGGGGCTGAACTTCCACCAGCATCGTTCTTGGGGTTCTTGATGTTAGGATAGGCCTTAGGCTGGATTGTTTAATTCCAAGCTTATGTGCCTGCTGCGCAGAGCAAGGCAGTAACGGCACTGAGGCGGCGGCTTTCCACATTCTCATAAATCTCCTGCACATGATTCATTCGAAACATGTCAGACTGAACACAACGTCACCTTACACTTAAACCCTGTAAACTCTAGCCCCAATGCCCGGTGAGATTACTACCTCTGACCATGTTGCGCCAGCACGAAGCATGAGCTTTCCCAAGCTAAGGCCCAGCTACGGCTTGATTCTGACTCATCTGGGGGGCTGATTCTGCGCAGGAGGGTGTTAGAGTGGGGGAAGTGCAGGATCCCCTACGCAGAATTCGATAGTAACAACTTGAGATTGGTGTTGCAGGAAGGATTGCAAACGCAACCTCAACTTGTGCAAGCCGCGGTCAGACAAACCTGAACCTGAACTAAACTGCCGCCCTTGCAGAAACATGGGCAATGCTGAGTGAGGCCTTGATGTTTGCCAGGTTGGAGTACTGAGCAAATGAGTCCACGATGCCGGCCTTGTTCCGCTCTGCGCATGTGTCACACTGCATCAGCATACACTGCCCAAAGTAGCGATCTGGCAAGCATTGCACGTCTTGTGCATTGCATGCTTGCATTCACGGCTCACAGTGCCTGCATGATAGCTACAGTCGGGAACCTCTGCACGGCATGATGCCACCCTCGCACGTTTCCTGCTCTCGGTGCCCTGCCAAATCAACAAGATTCTCGTCAAAATCGGACTGCTCCTTGCAGGCAGAGTAGCTAAGGAACCACTGTCTGGCTGGTTCTTCGTAGGGACTCAAGGGAACGAGGTGCCCTCTGTAACCCCTTAAAGGGTATATATGGTGGCCCGAATTCCCCTCATCCCCTACGAAGAACCAGGGGGCTGTTCCAACGTGCCAGTCCCGGGGACGAAATGAAGCCTAAAAGGGTTTATGGTTCCTATACCATTCATAGGAAGTATAGGGTATATGACCCCAATTTTAGGGTTCTTCATAATATACCATTAATAATTAATAAGAAGTATGGGGTATATGACCCCAATTTTAGGGTTCATTTGGTCCCCAAGGGCCGAAGCCTTGGTGCAGTGCCGGCCTGCTGCATCTCCTTGAGGTAGCCCTTCTCAGCCTTGCCAAGCTCATGCTCCACCTGTTGAGGAAGAGATGTGGCTGCCAGGTTAGGGTTTAGGGTTTAAGGGCTCAGGCACATGCACCTAGAAGCCTAGAACATGTTGTCCCTTAGCCTTATGGAATTAAGGCCTATACTGGAGTTTGAGCTGCTTGCCTAGTTTGAACCTCCTTTCAAGACAGGCTTTGGGCTCAACTAGGGCTCGCCGCAAAAAGGTTTCTGTGACCCTCTTTGAGCCCCAAACCCAAAACCCAAAACCCAAAACCCTAAACCCCGTAAACCCCGTACACCCCGCGACCGCCTGGGCCATGAGGTCAAAGGTCTGCTTGGGGCAGCCGAAGACGCGCCAGCGTTGGTAGGCATCATCCTCCACAGGGGGAGCCCTAGGTGTCCATGTACCCATATAGCACATAAGTTTGGGTTTAGGGTTTAGGGTTTAGGGTTTAGGGTTCAGGGTTTAGGGTTTAGGGTTAAGGCTTTAGGGTTTAGGGTTTGCCATATAGTACATATTTGGGCCCTAAAGCTACTGTATGGGAACCCCTTGAAGGCCCAAGTAAGCCTTTAAGGGCCAGAGTGGTTTTGGCTTTAGGGTTTGGGGTTAAGGGTTTAGGGCAGTTTAGGGGTTGAGGGTTCAGGGTTTGGGGTTTAGGGTTGGCGTTTCGGTGGCTCGGATCCGGGGAAAAACCGGAAGCCTGAGCCCAAATCACCCTGAACTTCTGAGCGCAAGGGGACAAAACCCCAAGACCCCAAAACCCACAAAACCCCGAAATCCCCGAATACCCCGAAAACTCCAAAACCCCAGACAGATGAGGGCAGCACGTTCGTCAGCTTGACGGCAAAGCCTTCCAGCACCTGGGTGCAAAGCAGACGCAGAAAATGCCAAATATGCATTGACCTCAGGGTTGGGGTTTCGGGTTGTCGGCTTAGGGTTTAGAGCGTAGGGTGTAGGGTTTCGGGGAGTTGAGGGACACAGGATACCATCTGAAACTCCAAGCAACGAACTTGCAATTCTGAGACGAGCACGGTGTAGATCTGAATGCACTTGTTGATGTCAGGGGCAGCCCTCAGCAAGCCACCCCAAGCACGGCAAGGCCACGTTAAATGACTTAGAGGCTTTAGGGCTTGGGGTGTAGGGGTTGAGCGTTTACAATCCCTATAAACCCTAAGGGCCGAAACCCTATGGAATAGAGGTTCACGGGTTCTTTAGGAGAACGCGGTGCCTATCGGAGTGCACTTACGCAGATTCGGTTTTTGGGGTTGTTTCGGGCTTCTGGCATTAGCGGCTTGTAGGAGGGGGGGTTCGGGCATGCCCGGGTTCGGGCATGCCCGTGTAGGGGGGGAGGGGGTGGGGGGTAGTGGGGTAGGGTAGGAGGGTTTTAGGACTTCAGCCCCAAGCCCCCGAAAGCCATCAGCACCTATAAAGCACAAAAGCTTGGATCTTGCACCCTGACCCTGCTAGAACCCCGATTGAAGTCGCTAAACCCTAAACCCTAAACCCTAAACCCTAAACCCTAAACCCTAAACCCTAAACCCTAAACCCTAAACCCTAAACCCTTTTCGGGGTTAATCTTCACCGACTGACGGAACCCCCAAATGCACGCAATTCACCAGGAAAGGGCAACTTGACCCCGGGGTGCTCGCTTGGCCACCTCCCCGGACACTCCACCTGCGGGAGAGTACTTAGGGCTGGCTCCATGGCTCTGCGTATGTATAGCGAAGCAATATCTGCCTTTATAGATGTACATAGATCTCATCTAAACGAATACACATCTACAGATATGCAAATACATGCTCTCTCTCTCTGTATATATATATATATATACACAAATGCAAATACTATGTGTGCATGTATATGCAAAGGTATGTGTAGGTATGCATGTGTACATGCACATTGTGGGGACTTTCCGAGACTCAGGGTCTCCCTTTCATACTTGCATGCGCGGTGCCCTGCAAGAGTGGGCTGGAACCTGAAGATCGCTTGGTCAACCCCCGGGCAAGGTTTCGGGCCTGTAGGGTTTAGCCCTAAACCCTAAACCCTAAACCCTAAACCCTAAACCCTCAAGCTCAGCCCCAAACTCATGAACTCGCGGAGCTCGGTGGACTGCTCGATGTTCTTCGGCGCCTACGCGCGCGTGCATGGAACGACATACAATCACAAAGCTGAGATTCTGGGGTGTAGGGTTTAGGGTTTAGGGTTTAGGGGTTTGGGGTTTAGGGTTTGGGGTTTAGGGTTCAGGGTTTTGGGTTTGGGGATGTTTGGTGTTTAGGGTTTGGGGTGGAAGATGAAAGCCGGGACTCGGTTTTTGGGGGGATGGTGAGAGCCCATTTATTCTCATGAGAATGGGGCAACTTTGTATTCCAGGATAGCATTGATAGTGATTCTAAAGGCGGGGTGCCCTTTTGTAGTTTCGTTTTCGGGGTACTCTGGCGATGCCTATATTGTGTGCAAGAGAAGCAAGAAGAGGTGCCCCAAGCCATAAACCCTAACCCTACACCCGAAACCCTAAACCCTGCGGTCCGCGCCTTGCGCAGCTGCGCGAAGATACCCTGGAACATGTCCTGGCTGTGGGGCTGTGGGATGTCTCGGTGGGCTTTGGGGGGCCTATGAGGCCTTATAGGCTTAGGGTGCGCCGAAAAAGGGGCAGGGCGGATGGTTTAGGGTTTGGCGCTTTAGGGATTTAGGGTGTAGGGTTTAGGGCTTTAGGTTGTCAGTGTAGGGTTTAGGGTTTGGGGTTTAGGGCTTTAGGGTAGTTGCCCTCAACCAGGCGGGTCGGGCCGCCACTTCTTGAGCACTCTCCCGGAAACGGTGCAGCAGCATCTCCTCCTGTCAAGGAGACGAGCAGCCCAGGTGATTTTCGACGAAAAGGAGCGAAAAAACACTAATATGCTTCCCTTGCCCATGCACCTATAGAGGACGTACTTGGGCTTTCAGGAGCTTACCACATAGTAGCTTTAGGGCCCAGGTATTCACTTTACAAGTACATGGACCCTTAGGGCGTTGTGTGGTGTGGGTGTGAGCTGCTCAGCTTGATATTTCTTGCGAACCGCTGGCATCGGGAGCGAGCTCAACCATGATCGTGATCGCGGTCGTTTAGAACGCCCATATGCCCCACAAGTGCTGGAAGCAAACCGAAAGCTACAATACCCTCTCGGCCGGCAGTGGAGATCCCGAACCCCTTGCCCTAAACCCTAAACCCTAAACCCTAAACCCTAAACCCTAAACCCTAAACCCTAAACCCTAAACCCTAAACCCTAAACCCTAAACCCTAAACCCTAAACCCTCAAACCCTAAACCCTAAACCCTAAACCCTAAACCCTAAACCCTAAACCCTAAACCCTAAACCCTAAACCCTAAACCCTAAACCCTAAACCCTAAACCCTAAACCCTAAACCCTAAACCCTAAACCCAAACCACCCCAAAAAATCTAGATTAGCCCCAGCTGAGAAAATGGGATTCTGGGCCCCGGGCTAAGCACCTTCAATCCCTCTGTAAGAGGCCATCTTGGGCACCTCTTCCGTAGTGTCCTAACTCCCCTACTGACCCGAAACCCACCCTAAACCCTAAACCCTAAACCGAATCTCGGAGTTTTGAGGGCCAAGCCAAAAGCTCAGCGATCTTGCGGTGACGGCTGGCCTTATGGGGGGGGGGGGGGGGGGGGGGGGTTGGGGTGGAAATTTAGGGTTTAGGGTTTAGGGCTTAGCGTCTAGGTGAAGAAATAGAAACTCACAAGGTAGGGTGGGCTTAGAACAAGAACCTACAATCGGGCATGCTTTTTCAGGGGCTATCCAAGCTGTTCTCATGCGGTTTTATGCGAGTTCCTCTGTGAGATTTTCTTAGTCCCTTACCAATTGGAAGCCGGTGGGGGCCTACCGTGTGGTGATGTTGCCGGGTATTGAAGGCACCAGGTCGGGTATTGGGGTTTAAGGGCATAGTAACCCTTAAACCCTTAAACCCTAAACCCTAACCCTACACCCCAAACCTTTAAACCCTTCCTACAAAACGTCGCTGGGCTCTGGGCCAGCACCTTCCGAATCTCAGAGCAGTGGATCTCGAAAAGCCCGACGACCTGCCACGTATGGCAGTGGGGTTTGGGGTTTTGGGTTTAGGGTTTAGGATTTACTTAAGGACTGTCAGTATGAAGGTGGAACATCCCAATCTCTATCTCCCTAACCCTAAACCCTAAACCCTAACCCCTGCTTTTCGGCGCCCCCCCGACTTCGAGAAGATGCAGGCGAGGGGCCGTTGTGTCCGGGATGGCATCCAAGACCTTCTGCCTCAATGCGTGGCTGGGAGGCCAAATGGAAGCCCTAAATCCGAACATCGGAGAAGATCGAGAAAACATAAAAGAGCACGTTAAACAAATCCTAGAAGCTTCTCAACAGACAAAGGCCTGAAATCCTCCATCCCCAAATCCTGTATCATGCGGCCATAAGTTCCTGGGGACCTAAACAATGGCGCCCGAAACCCTCCCAAGACGCCCCAAGCACTGAAGATACCCTCTATACCTCCAACTCGGTCCTAACTCCTAGTAATCTTAGGCCCCTTTGAATCAGCACCTAGGGGAGAGGGTGTGTGACATGTGCGTGGGAGCATGTTTTCGTCCTTGGTTTGTTGCGTGTCTTTTTTCGGGTGGGGAGGGGAGGTTATTTCAATAATGGGTCCGTCACCTCCACTTGATGTTGGCCTCGCCCCAGCATCTTCTATAGGGTCCCGGCTCCTCATCCATGTGCTCCAGGATGAACTGCTTAGCCCTGGGACAAACTTGGGCTGAGCGCGGAGATTGGACCCAAGTGCTCGCAGGCGCTGTACCCTAAACCCGAATGCTCCTAAGACCCCAACTCCCCCAGTCCACAGCAGCCCCTAAACTGCTCGCAGTTTCCGGCCTAAACAGGCTTCAGAGATTACAAAGGGGTATATAGGGCTCAGGAGGCCAATTATTCTGCTAAGGCCCGGCTCGAGGCCGGCGCTCATCTGTGGATATTTCTGCCGCTGTCTTCTCTTTGACCTGGGCTCTAATTAGGGTTTGGGGTTGCAGGGTTGATTGAGAGAGAGAGAGAGAGAGAGAGAGAGAGAGAGAGAGAGAAGTTCTTGTGGGCTCTGCCGGGCGATGATTATGCTTTCAACTGTCAAACGTCCTTGGCGGCAGCCAACTGTCCAGAAAGTTGCAGTTGCTTCATGCTCATCTGCTGCTGGGCCATCTGCATATTCGGCTGGATCCAGTCCTGAGGCACTGGCGGAAAGCTTGCTGTAAGAGGAGGCCCATATCGTGACGTTTCGGCAGTGCTTCGACCACAACTATCATAACGGCG